AAAATAATTTTGAGCCTAAAATATCATAGACAGACGATGCACCGATGCAAATTGAGCTACAACTCATTAGCCCTTATCATCTCTTTTAATCCAACATGAAGGCATTAAGGGTATTTTGTAATTTCCTGCACTTCGAGTGCAGACCAAGTGGCCGCTTCCTTGCTCAAGTGCAACTCTCCTCCCTGGTTAAATTTAATTTATTTTTAACTAGAAGCACCTTATTATTGTTCCACAATAAAAAAATTGAAAATCAAACCTGCTCAAGAACACGGCATCTCTATTCAAATCCTGAACAACACCGATAATCGTGTAAGTCAGAAACCTCGACACCGATAAGTGGTTTTTTAGCGTCCCACCCACCCATCCATCAAATCAAACCAATCCCGCCCAAGCTTCTAGCCTACAAGTCTGAAAGAAGACCGCTGTAGAATAATAACAAAAGGAGAATAGGTTAAAAATGAAAAATCCGACCTGCCGGATTCGAACCAGCGACCTAAGGATTACAACTACAACTACAGTCCTCCGCTCTGCCAACTGAGCTAAGGTCGGCTTTTTAACAACTTCATTAACTTGTATTAATTTAACATTGTATAAAAAGGTATTAATACCCTTATCAACTCTCTTCCAACAAGAACTCGAAATGAGTTTAGAGACTGGAGACTGGTCACCTTAAAATTTCACTGATTGGTGCTTTTAAGTCAAAGAACTTATATATCATATTAAAGCTAGAGAGTAATTTCGGTGCATTAGGCTGAATTTTATCGTATTAGTTAGACAGGTGTATGGTATTAATTAAAATTTTATTTTTCTTAAATAAATAAAATCACAAAAAAATTATTCGTGTGTTTAGTATTGTGATATAAAATAATTTTTATTTGAAGATATATAAAAATATTATTTATATAATTTTATTTTTATTTTTAACATTAGCATATAAAAAATAATAAAAAACTATTTATACGTGGAGCAACTCTGAACTAAATAATATTCTCTGTTCGCATAGATAAACCACATTAATTTGATTATAAAAGGACCTTTGATAACGCTTCCTTTTTATTTTTCAAGAGGAAAAAAAACACATTAATTTGATTGTATTTCAACGGTCAATTTCCATTTCTACCAGCTTGTGAGTCTTGTTTTCTGAGATACCAATCGAAATTTTATATGCCTATCGAAGCCAAGGTTAACTCTGTCATTTCGATGCTTGGCTGGGATCGTAAATATTGACCCTTGCTTTATACGCCAAGATGACCCGTTTCAGAAAAGGAACGAAAAAGGTCGGATCCTGAACGCCCGGAATTAGATAAAAAGAATCAATGAAAAGATTCATGTATTGATTTTTCTTTTCTCTTTTCCTTTTATATTTTTTTTTAATTTATATAGATGTTCGGGTTAGTTTGTGAATATTACGACAAATTTTATAATTCATTGAACATCCTGCAAGCCCAATAAATATATAAGACATATATTTGCGGACATCATTGATGTGAACAACTGAAATCTTTTATTTTTATTTTTTAATTTAACAATAAAAAGGTGTATACATTTTATTCATTTCCTGAGTTCCAACGCGTCTCATGAATCATGACTGATCTTGAGCTTTTCATATCAGGCTTCGATCTTCAAGAAGTAACGTGTTCTTGGATAGCATTTGATACGTCTGACTCTCCCAGTGAAAACTAGATTGATGGCTCTAGAAATTTTTCTAACATGAAACAAGTACTTTTATTTTTAGCATTGGCTCTAGAAATTAAATTAAATGCAACATTTAATGAAAAAATAATAAAAATAAAATAAAATAAAGAGAAATTAAATAAATGACTATCAAATTTTATATAAAAATTAAATTAAATTAAATATTCAATGATAAAATTAAAAAATTAAAAAAATAATGCAAAATAAATATTAATTAAAATAATAAAGACCAGATTTATTATAAAATTAAATGAAACCAAATGTTGAAATATAAAATTAAAAAAATAATTAATTAAAAAATATTCAACACATAAAAAAATAAAGATAAATTCTCATACAAATAAAATATCATAACACCTTTTAATTATAACAAGTTAGCATTATTTTTTAAGAGGAAAGATGAGATAGGAAAGATAGAGTACAAGCGCTGAATAATTGAAAAGATTGTTTTACAATTCTTTAAAAGCAACCACAGACAATAATAATACATTGCTGAAAGAGGCTGCATACACCATTTGAGCATAACAATCTCTCCCTGCACACTAGTGCACGTGGTGCACATGCAAACAAGGTAGCCTTGTTTGTCATTTCTAGATCTTGTATTTAAAAAAAGAATGATTCCTTAAACCTTAATTATTTTAAATCATTAAATTTATATTTTATTTTGCTAAACCAAATTTTTTTTCCTGATATGATAAGATATTTGTATCTAGACAATAATAAAATAAAATAAAAATTATAAAATCCAATATCAAGAAACTAAACATAAAATAATCAAATTTAAAATAAATCAAGAACAAGAAAAAGGTTGAATCTCAAGAATTAAGCTGTTATTTTAATAAAATGAAACAGAACATAATTGAAAAAAAACTCAATCAATAATAAATTGGTTACCCAACACTTGCACGCGTTATCTTACAAGAAAAGGACATAAAGACTCTTCCAACACCATAATAGAATGGTACTTTTAGTAATAAAAAGGTGTTGAACATGCCATCCACATGTTAATGCATTCTATATACACGTCACTAAATTTTATTTTTTAATTATTTTTTTATATGTCAAAATAGCCAAAATAGCTTTTATCTTAACATATACTAACTAAAAAATCTCTCATGGAAAACTCCGATGAAAAACTCCTTAAAATCAATTTTAAATTTTTAGTTGTTAAGTTGTTTCATGCTATTTATTTTTTATTATCTTCAATGCTCAGTGAAGGATCAAATTGCCCTTCATTTAACATGAAATTTATGTAAAAACTATTTAAAAATTCAAAAGTGCCCCTTAACTCTAGTTTATTTTTTTTTTTATTTCAAGGGTATTTTGGTCATTTCATTGTATAATCCAAAAGAAAAAATATCTATTTATCTTTGATTAATTTAGTAATGATTAATGTGCCCTGTAAAAAGACAAAAACACCCTTAATTATTAGTGTCAAGTTTCTTGAATGGAAAGACAAAACTGTAAAATCATGCTGAAGTTAAATTAATATGCTATTTTAGTGATTGTTTGATATTGTATATATAGGTGAGGTTTACTCGCAATTATATATATTATTATTTAGTTAAGAAAAAATATAATTTTATTTTGGTAGGAATCATCATAAATCGTGGTTGTGCCGCAAATTTATAAAAAATATAATTTATTTGCTTTATAAATAACAGTTTTTTTATTGTTTATGTGACCAGTGAAAAATAAAAAAAACTACAGTAAACCATGACGGGAAAGAGCAAGCTCTCGTTGAAAAAGAGGAACAACCCCAAGTTTATTGAATATCGATCAATTACTAATAATATCGGATCCCTTATCAATAGTAATGAATAAAATTAGGAGAGGTAAAATTAGGGAAGTCCAATCCAAGTGGATCCTGTAAAAAAAAAATCAAAGTAAAAGACAGCGAGCATAACCTATGCTTAGGACCCAATTTATTGTGGAAAATTACCTTGTAACATAGCATCTAAAGATTCATTTGAATCGCCAGGCTGCATTAACAGGAAATCAATGAGTTATTCATTTGTAACATAATAAATATATCAATATGAATATTCTCCACATGTCTTTTGTCAAAAAATTTGAAATCCAAATCCACAATATAATTCATTTTTTTATTGTTCACATAAATAATAAAAAACATATTTATTGTTCATGGTCGGATTGGTTCCAACTCGAATCTAAATATTGAGTGTTTGGATTTGTTTCAGTGAAATAAAAAAAATCCAAACAATTTCTTATATATTGTGTTTTATTTGAAAAACTTATATTTAATATTATTTAATGATATTATATAATTATATTACAAGAAGATTGTAGTCCCAATTTTATTCTTGATGATATTTTACCTGATGTTATTTTACGTTAGGAAGTAATGAAAATTGTAGTTTTTTTCGGATGAATTTTATATGCAATAGAATTGCAAATAATTTAATGAAATAATAAAAAATAATTTATATAAATTATTGTTTATTTTACGATGCAATAACAGTAGTTAAATATACAATATTTCAATTAAAAAACTATCAATATTAATGTATATATTTTTAGTTATTTTATAATTTTAATTTGAAAAATATTTTTCACTAAACATATTAAACTATTTTTTATTCAACCTCAATTTCAAATATAATTTCAACCAAATATATATTTTTTCAAACAATTATTTTTTATAAAATATTTTTTTTATTACAATCATCTATTATAATACTAAACACCATGCTAAAAGACATCAATAAGCTCTTTTAGTTTTTTCCCTCGTAACAAGATTCGTCAGTGTCCTTTCTTCTGGGTAAGATTCGGTAGAAACAAGTCAAATAACATACAGCGCCCCTTTATACATGCGAGGATGGATCTTTCGGAAAACCCCAATCTTATACTGGGTACTTATCAATTATACATACGAGCCTGGTCTGACCCAATACGTATCAGATACATAAATTAGAAAAAAAATAATTATCGACGAGGACACAAAATCATAGGCGAGCGATACAACCAGTGGAAAATTCCAAAAGACTGACTAAAATATATGAGGATTTTTTGAGTAAATTCTAGACAGAACAAGTTATTAACAAATATAATAAAAGATTATTTAATAATTCCTCACACCTTAAGGGCTAATTACTAGTTTAGAGACTATTTTATAATTGAATAGTAAAATATGATTTAAAAGAAAATATATTACAAACAAGAAATGTTGAGCACGCAACCAGCACGAAGAATTCCATGAAAATGTCGCTTTCACTCCAATGTCTACCTTTTCAATGTATTTATACGAACATATACGCTCCTGGTAATTTTACGCAAATGTAAGGAAAAAGGAACCAGCCTTTCATCACCACGGCCAGTTGTTATAAATATCTGGGAAAAAATCCCCTTCTTCCCATTCCCCTGCTCCAACTCGACTCCCCTCCATGACTGTACCGAGTGCATAGATCAACAAAATCAGAGAGAAGCTCTAAGAAAAATGTCGGCAGTTAGCGTAGAGCCTTTCCTTCGATACCCTCGCTTTGAAAAGCCCGGATTTGCTCGTAGCAGGAGAAAGGCTGCTATAACTGTCACTACTGCTGCTCTATTCAAATCTCCTTCGTCTTTTAATTGTTGCTGTTCACTAATACCAAGACGAAAACTCCTGTCAAATGCCTCCTCCTTCCCTTTTCTTGACCTTCATAGGGTCAAAACCCACACGGCTAGAGCTAGCTCCACCGATACGGCTGTTCTTGAATCCACTAATGATGTCGTATTCAAAGAGACCTTCCCTCTTTCGCGTACTGAAACGACTGAAGGAAAGATTTTTGTAAGATTAGATCAGAGTAAGGCCAAGGAGAAGGAGGATCAATGGCAGCAGCTTACTGTTGGGTGTAGCCTTCCAGGGAAATGGATTCTTCATTGGGGTGTTTCTTATGTCGATGATACTGGCAGTGAATGGGATCAACCTCCTGAGAATATGAGACCCCCTGGTTCGATTCCTGTAAAGGTAAAGCTTATTTATTTATTTATTGCCTTCTAATGACCATGACACTTGACCGTCACTGGCTGGAATGTAATGTAATGTAACGTTTTGCTTTTGCAGGACTATGCCATAGAGACGCCGTTAAAGAAGGCATCAGAAGGAGATAAGTTTCACCAAGTGAAGATTGAGATTGATCCCAAAAGTCCCGTTGCAGCCCTGAATTTTGTTTTGAAGGTTTTGAGTTTAGCATGCTGCTTTTTTTTTCTTCTGTTTTTTTTTTTTCACTTGTCCTAATTATTTTTCAATTTTATGCTGGTGGTAATAATTGTTTCTCTCTCTCTCATTTTTGTGGGGGATTGCGGTGGCTGGCTGGCACAGGATGAAGAAACTGGAGTTTGGTATCAGCACAAAGGGAGAGATTTCAAGGTGCCTCTCGTGGACTGCTCGCTCGATTCTGGCGGTGGAAACGTCATAGGAGCAAAGGGGGGCTTTAGTATGTGGCCAGGTTATAAAATTAATCATTAGTATTATTTTCATATGCTGCTATTTACATGATCTCTTTTCTTTCCCCATGTTTTGTACCTACAGATTTGTTACCTTTTGCGAACAACATGCGTCCGTGTTTATGGATTTGGTTTTTTAACAAGATTTTTTTCTAAAACTATCACAGAGGATGGTCCTAATCAGAGATACTAACCTGATTGATCCAGTGTCTCTACATAACAACAAAGCAGTGCCAGAGGAAGGAAAATCCCAAGTAAAATTTGATCACCATGTGGACGAATAGGATTTCTGGAAAACTAGAAATCGGATTAGTGTAACTTACCTTTGCCTGTTTTCCATTATAGACATACAGAATTGTCGAATAGTGAATCAAATCATTTTAGTTTCCTTGTCCTTTTCCTGTTCTTCACTTTCTTTTTCCACATAAGTTGCAAACTGGCATAGTTCAATGCTACATTGCTAATCTCCCATAGTTTGTTAAGTACTCTGTTGCCTGATTTCATCGTTTACATAAATCTTGGTTGAATTACAAATCGACTGGGAAAATAAATCAGGTGGCATACTTGTGTCTAAGTTGTAGATCCCAAACTCATGCTTTCTATTATGTTGGCGGTGAGTTGGGTCATGAGTAGGTGGTTTATGATTTCTGTTTGCTCATCTCTGTAGCTCTCTCTCTTCTCCATTTTATATTTGCTGATGAGCTGACAGATTGTGTTAACTCATCTTCAATTCTAGGGACAATGCTTTCTAACATGTTCCTCAAAGCAGATGCATTGGCTTCTGAAGGTAAAGATAGCAGCAGCAGATCCAAAGACCCTAAACAAGAAACTAGGAAGGTAGAAGGATTCTATGAAGAGCTGCCCATTGCTAAATTTGCCGTGATTGAAAACTCAGTGACTGTTTCAGTTAGCAAGTGTCTCAAGACAGCCAAGAATCTTCTCTATTTAGTAACTGATCTACCTGGAGAAGTTGTTGTTCACTGGGGAGTTTGCAGAGATGATGCTAAAAAATGGGAAATTCCGGCTGCTCCACATCCACCAGAAACAACTGTGTTCAAGGACAAGGCTTTGCGGACTGTGCTACAGGTATAGAACTGAATTTACTGTATAAAGAGGAAACTGAATAGCGTACCTGGACTTTTTTTCCAGAATATGCACTGTTGTTGCCTAGTAAAAATATTCATTGCAGGTAATCATGGTTTAGTTAGGTAATGATATATACAAAGCTACAATTAAAACTGGCATGCACTTTCTTTATTTCTGGATAGTAATATCTGCCCATTTTATGTGGTACTATGTAAAGTTCATCAAACGAAGCTAGAACACAGATTGCCAAGGCTAAAAGCTACTTTGGCACAGGGACCTGTTGGCCAACTGGCACCTCTCTCTTTCCAACAAAGTGATGTCATTTGTTGGAATAGTGAGGAACTATAGACCAAATGACACCCCGCAAAAATATAATATAATTGTATTCAAGTCTATCCAGATTCTTGCTTCTCTGTTCCTTGTATTTCCTTGCCATGGCTGTATCATGTTTCTATTTTTTCTTTACTCTGTTTTATTGGGCAACATTTGTTTACTAATTGAAACATATCAAGAAAATTATTTTTCTTACAAGTGCATGTCAGCTTTGCTGATTGATTCTTATTTTTCACTTATATACTTTACCATTGGAAGTTTAATTTATTAAAAATGCACATAAATCTTCACTCACTTTATATTTGGTCCAATTGTTCCACTAGGTTTGGACCTGCATTCATCTCGTTGGGAGTGAGTGTAGATTTTTTAATGATCTAATATTAAGGATAAAGAAAATTACTGGTAACGAACATAACTCTGCTATCTATCACAAAGATAACCTGCATTCATATGTTGTTTTCATCATTCTTTTTCCTCCTCCAATGTTGACTCTCCCTTTTTGCATAGAAATGGGATAAGGTGAAGTGTTTGTTTCTCAATTACAAAAAATAAAGGAAAATACCCACTGCCAAGAACACAATTATGTTTTTATTGTGGGCTTTGTAGCTGCTCTTTTACTTCTTATTCTTCCCCCTTTTCACTCTTTAGTGGCAGTGGATAGTTTAGCTGAATGTTCAGAAAGATAGGCCTTACATCAAGTGGATGTAGAGGATAGTGTCAAATTTTCTATTTAGCACTCACATACACTCAAATGTTTGTATAAATAGACATGATACACCATCATATATGGGCTGGGCTGGAAGCATTATTTGGCTTGTAATCTACCTTTTAGCATGCGTCATTTGTTACTTGGTGTTTTCTGTTGATAATTTGAATTTGGGGTATCTTGATAGTTGGTATTGTTGGCTTATCTATTTTAATGTTAAGAATTCTTATTTCTTGCTTTTACTTTGTCACTTAAATGGCCATCCCATTTTGCAGGCAAAAGAGGATGGAAATGGACGTTCAGGGTCATTTACTTTGGACGGAGACCTTGTAGGCTTCCTTTTCGTTCTCAAGCTAAATGAAAGCACTTGGTTGAATTGTATGGGAAATGATTTCTATATCCCTCTCCCAATCTCAAGTAGCCTTCCTGCTCTATCAGGAACCGGACAATCTGAAGTTCCACCAGTATCTGAAAACACTGTAGGAGCAGATCAAGAAGTTTCTCATGCTATATATACTGATGGTATAATTAATGAAATACGGAGCTTAGTTAGTGACTTTTCCTCTGAGAAGAGACAGAAGACAAAAACAAAAGAAGCACAAGAAAGCATTCTCCAAGAAATTGAAAAATTGGCTGCTGAAGCATACAGTATCTTCAGAAGCTCAATTCCAACTTTTATGGATGAAACTGCTCTGGAATCCGAGGCAACAGAGGCTCCTAAAATATGCTCGGGAACTGGCACTGGTTATGAAATATTGCTCCAAGGTTTTAATTGGGAATCCCATAAATTGGGACATTGGTACATGGAGCTAAAACAAAAAGTTGAAGAAATATCGTCCCTGGGATTCACTGTGATTTGGTTGCCCCCACCAACAGAATCTGTGTCACCTGAAGGTTACATGCCAAAAGATTTGTATAATCTTAACTCCAGGTACATATTATAAAATTATAAAAATGCATAATACTCTTGTCACGGTCTTCTTTAAATGATTTTCAGATTGGACTTGGTCACAGAAGCTGATGCTAGTACAGATCCAATTGTTCCTTTTGTGTTTGCTCCTGAACTAACAATACCTTTTACGTTAACATAATTGACATGTTCTTACATAGAAATGAAGTTCTATAGTTTTTTGGATATTTTCTTCCTTATCTTATAACCTTTTGTGCTTGGAAACAAGTACCATATTTTAAGCCATCAAATTCATTGTCTGTCAATCATTGAATTGTTAGTAGGTTATCAGATTTTTTTTTGTTTTTCTGTATGACAGATGACAGGCACTATCATCATACTGACCATGAAGTACTATTTGATTTCTATCATGTTGTATATATCAGATATGGAAATATTGATGAGCTGAAGGATCTTGTGAAGAGATTCCATGGAAAGGGTGTTAAAGTTCTTGGAGATGCTGTTTTGAACCATCGTTGTGCACACTACAAGAATGGGAATGGTGTATGGAATATTTTTGGAGGCCGCTTGAATTGGGATGACCGGGCAGTTGTTGCAGATGATCCACATTTTCAGGTACTTGGATTTTTTTATGTGATTTCCAAAGTTAGATAGCTGTGTTGCTGTTGAATTAAGAATCAATTACTCTAAAGGATAACACAGTTGCTAATTTCTTATGACTCAAATATCAGACAGCAGGATGCTTTTACCAGAAAATGCTAGTTGTTAATGTGCATAGAAAAAATGCCCTGGTGCCTTCAAACATAATTCTAAAACTGATCAGAAAAAAAGGAAAGAGAATGACCCTGGCTCGTATTTACTTCTAGAAAGCATCTGTACATTTTTTATCCATATATTGAAAAGATCTCAAAAGCTAACATTTGTCAATGCATAGTGAGGTCATAAATAGTCATAATATTGTGATGTCTATCTTATCCAAAACTCTAAACTTCAAAAAGAAATAATTCATATCTGAATATTTCAAACTTAAAGAGTGTTGATTTAATACCCAGTGCCTGAAATTAACTGTTTGTTCATTATTGGATCCATGTGAACTGGTTTTCCTTAAGTTTTGGATACTTAAAGAAGGCATGATAACAATGGACACATATCCATGTGTATATATGATACCTGTAGTTTTTAACCAAATTGGCTATGTTATGATTTTCAACAGCATGAAATCCATTTATAGGATTTCCCAATGCTTGCTTTCCAAATCATTAAGCTATTCCAATGAGTATTTTTGCAATTGCAAACGTGCTGTCAATCACCACATTCATGATAGAATGACAGTTTGTGTTTGGATATTTCCGAGACAGCTAAGAATGGAACCTGGTACACTTTTCTGTGAACTGCAACAGGAACTTGAAAAGAAAAGAAATGGAACCTGGTACACTGTTTGTTTTTGAGTTTCTAAAGCGTTTTTGAAGAAATTTGATAATTTTTTATTTTTTTCTTTGCTTCAAATTAATATTTTTTTAGTGTTTTTAGATCATTTTAATGCGTTGATATCAAAAATAATTTTTTTAAAATAAAAATATATTATTTTAATACATTTCTAAGTAAAAAGCATTTTGAAAAGCAACCGCAAACACACAACTACCAAACATTTTATACATGTTTTTTGCTACACAAAAACTTAAAATCACATTTTTTACCAAACACTTATCTAAATCCAACTAACCTCAGCTAACCACACTTTTTTTAAACTTATTTTTTTCAAACCACAACCACAAAAAAGCTACCTAAAAAAAACACACTTTAAATTAGTTTATGACTTGACTGTACAAGTTTACATTCATTTATGTTGTATTTCTGGGGACTGAGGTGGATGCATCTGAATGTCTGAAGTATGGACGTGGGGGAACATTTCCTTACTGACACAAGAGACAAGAAGATTAGCATTTGTTTGTCATTTAAATTCTATGGTTCTGGGTAGTTTGGTACTTCATCTCTTTGCTGGAAATTTAACCTGTCCTGTGTCACATATGCTTGTCTTGGAATGTTCTATTTCCTGTAACCTTGTTTGCATGCTTGCAAATTATGGCCTACAGCCTTGATTTTGCAGTTAATCTATAATAGCAAGACTTGTACTTTCAGAGGAGGTTTGTCTGCTGATTTGATCTGCCAACTGTGCATGTTTGCTCTTTGTGCTTGATGCATTATTTTCATGCAAATGTAGAGACAAAACAGCTTTCAGGACTGTGCTCTTATTTCTGAATCACAATTTGCTCCTTGATGCTATATGTAGCTGTAAAATATACTCTCGCATTTGTATAATTCCTGGGCTGTATCATGCAGGGTAGGGGAAACAAAAGTAGTGGAGATAATTTTCATGCTGCCCCAAACATTGATCATTCACAAGAATTTGTGAGAAAGGATCTCAAAGAATGGTTACTCTGGCTAAGGTAATAGTCCTCTTCCTTGTGTTTGTAAGGACTTGTATATTTATTCTCTTCTAATCATTAGTGAACACCAAGTAGAAAATATGTATCATCGTGAGACAATGAAAACTGAACTTCATTTTTTATAACAAAGCATTTCTGAGTCTCTGACAGTCAAACTTGGTATCAGCATCCTAATTTTCTCACTTAGCATCACTACTATTTTTCTTCCAAGAAATAAATGGCGCGGTGCTGTGTGAAAGTCCTGCTGGAGAAAATCACCATCATATGTTTCAAATCAATTGGTTAATGATGCAATGTAGGCATTTTCTTTTTCTTTTTATCTTCTGGCTTTTCTAGCTCTTTTAACTGAAAGGAGGTTTGCTTAGCTCTAGGAAGCATAAGGAGTATATCAATTTTTTTTCCCACTTCTGTGCCTAAGATCATCTGATTTTTCTTAATGGTTCATGTTATTAGAGCACTGGGATATTTTCTCTGGATTTGTGTCTTTTTCCAGGAAATTCGCAGCTTATTTTCTTGTTTAAAACCTGTTTTATATTACTTTCAACAACTTCTGCTGTATTTACTATTTAGTCTTTTCGTAAGCATCCTGTTGGGTCTATGCCTGCTGGTCTGCTGTTAGTGTCTTTCTTCTTATTGCTGATACCAATCCTATGGAAATTCCCGTTACTGTAGTTCTAATGATGATCTGACGTTTGTGTCATTTGTAAATTATGATCCATCCTCTTGTGCCTGAAATGAATTTATTTATGGCATGAAGCCTTTTTTTGCCTTCTATTCCCTGTGGTTTTGATTGCTTTAATGAGTGGATTGGTGGTGCATTCCATATTGTTTGGAGACAGAGATGAGCTACAGACAATGAGGAGTGGAACTTGTATTTGCTGATTTTCCCTGGATTTCCTTCACATGCCCGGTTGCTGCTTTTTCCTTCTGCTTTTAGACTTTGCAGGGAGCTGTAATTTCTATGGCTAAGATCAAGCTTTTTTTGTGCTTTGGATGCTTTAATCTGTTCTGTTTTGGAGGCTTAGCTGAGCTACTAATAATGGAGTGAAGCTTGTATTTTGTGATTTTTTGTTGCCTTCCCTTCCCTTCCCTTATCATGTTCTGTTGTTGTTTCTGCCTTCTGCTTTTAAATGTTGCAGGGAGCTAATCCCCATGGTATAGATCAGTATTTTTCACCTCTGCATGGTTTAAAATATTTTATTTGGGTAGCATCATAACTAACCTTATTTAACTGGTTGCATCTTGCATGCAGAAAAGAGATCGGGTATGATGGATGGAGGCTTGATTTTGTGAGAGGATTTTGGGGTGGTTATGTGAAAGATTACTTGGATGCAAGTGAACCTTATTTTGCTGTTGGTGAGTATTGGGATTCCCTCAGTTATACATATGGTGAAATGGATCACAATCAAGATGCACATCGGCAGAGAATTGTTGACTGGATTAATGCCACCAGTGGGACTGCTGGTGCATTTGATGTCACCACAAAAGGGATTCTTCATACGGTAAGTGCTCATTTACATGATTGATCTTAGATTTCTTTGATAAATATGCTTTAAAAGGCCAAAAGGGTGCACGCTTCTGTATGTATGTGCAAAGTTTGCAAAATGAAAAGAGAAAAACAAAAGACATACCTCTTGATGGTGTTCTTATGCTCTGATGCAGTTGGTACTGAATTGAATTATTTGTTTAATTTCTTGATATCCCTGTTATTTTCTCCTGATAATCTTTGATTTTATTTCCTGTGTCAGTAGATGTTGCGAGTAAAGGGATAGGAATAACAATTGCATTTAGATGATACCTCTTGTTAGACCTAGATACTGCGTGCAGGTTCTTGCAGAAAGCAGCATCTTTCATGGATCTTGTATCAAAAGTGTTACTGAATCATAGAACACAGGATTTTCCACTTCTGATGTTGATCTTTCCTTTTCTTGCCCACAAATGACGAACCTGGTTGGCATTTCCTAGGTTATATATTTTAGACTGTAACCATAGATGGGATTGTAGTTGAAACATAAGAAACAGTTCTTGTTGCAAGTAGCACCCAAGCACCTAACTGTTTGGCATCTAGATTAAATGAGTTGAATAATGCCATAAACTGCTAGATGATCATTTTTTCCAATTAGTTTATGAGTGGTGTCATTGTATAATCATTAAGTTGGTGACAAGATGTCAATTAATCAAGTCTCAAGTCTCTCTCCATGATACTTCCATGAAAAGTACCCAAGGAAAGACTAGTGTTTTTTTAGCTTTCCAAGTGCTGTAAGCTCGTGCCACATCCTTGCCCTTTCACTTTTACCTTTCCATTTGTTTTGGTTTATGTGTTTGGTATAAAGGTAAGGTGGAGGATAATCATATTTACAACTTATATTTTTTCCCCTCATAGACACTGGAAAGGTGCGAGTATTGGCGATTATCAGATGAGAAAGGAAAGCCTCCTGGGGTTGTCGGATGGTGGCCATCTCGTGCTGTTACCTTCATAGAAAATCATGACACTGGTTCTACCCAGGTTTAAACTTCTTAATTTTTTATATTTCTGCTGTACCTCTATTGAAGGAATTGAACAATAATGATCCTAAATCAGAAATTACGTACTCAAGAGAAAAATAGAAGTTAAAATTTGCTCATCTTTGAGGAACACTGTTATTTGTTTGAAGGCTGTAATGTCGTCATTTGTTTGAAATGGTATTATATATCTTATAATGTCACATAACAGCTATGAATAGTGAAAAATACATTAAATAGCAGTCATTGCGTAGTGTAATGGCCCTTTATATATATGTATAACCATGGGATGAGCCTTTTCTTCCGTGACTTGGTCCTGTAAAAGTGGTATTTGTTTCTAAGCCCACAAAGCGATGAAGCATCACTCTTGAATCTTCAGTCAGCTTTTCATCTCAGCTGTGAATTGGTTACCTTTTGGATTCATATTATTTGTGATTATTTGCATTTTTAAATGAGCCAATTGCGTGAGAGGATGGAAAGTATACTAAATGGAACGGAGTGTGAAACAACAGATAAGAACTCAAAAGGGAGAAGGACAGAGAAAAAAGTAGTTCTTAAAATTAAGGAATTCATAGAATACCAAACGGGAAGATGGAAGATAATTTGAGGATGTCATCCAGGATCTTGATTTTGCTTTACTTAAATTGGTGGGTAGGAAATTATTTATTGGGAGATGCAAAAGGAATGAAAAACCTATATTTTGTGTTGCTGTCGCTGTTTCATACTGTGAAGTTATCTTGTTACTAACCAGTACTCTTTCTTTCTTAGGGTCATTGGAGATTTCCCGGTGGAAAAGAAATGCAAGGATATGCTTACATCTTGACTCATCCAGGAACACCAGCAGTGTTCTATGATCACATATTTTCTCATTATCAATCTGAAATCGCAGCTCTCATCTCTCTAAGAAACCGGAACAAAATCCACTGTCGGAGCACTGTAAGTATTGAAACTACATCTTTATACACATATTTTGAGCATCAAGATAATATTAGACTCTTTCAAAGATGATATATAGTTTATTTTTATCCCTTTTAGCATATTAAATAGTGTATATATTGTGTAACTTCAAATTACAGAACTTCTTTCTATGATAAGACGAAAAAAAAAGTAGGAAAAGAAATGAAAAGGTCCATGTAAATAGTCCTAATCCTTGATTCTACTTCTCTACTGCTTGTTACATTAAAAATTATTAGTTGAATATGGCACACATTGTTTGCTCAGTTATTTTCCTGGCATCTAATTACACATCGCTCATGATTCCCTTAAAAACATATACTCGCATGGAAAAAAGAAAATGAATAAACAGCAAGCAATAAAAAATTGATCTCTTTGCTGGTTTGTACATTTAAGGTTAAAATTACCAAGGCGGAGAGGGATGTGTACGCGGCCATCATCGATGAGAAAGTGGCTGTGAAAATTGGACCGGGTCATTACGAACCGCCAAGTGGGCCCTACAGGTGGTCTTCAAAAATCGAAGGGAGGAATTACAAGGTCTGGGAAGCATCTTAAAATATCCATTTTAGTATTGGTAAGTGTGTGATCAAGAAAGTGTCCGCCTGGACAAGTCCGCAGAATTATATTTCGGCAGAATTATATTTACCAAGTAAAAGAACAGCAGAACAAGAAAGTCTAATAATAGTTCACCAGGGTGGTTTGCGCGCAACCAAATGAAGTTAAATCCCCATTCTTGACTTGACACCAAAGTCTAGCTTCTGGAAAGAGGTGTCCGCAGAGTTTGCTGGGTGCGCATACGAATGCGGGTTTTGAAGTTTCGAGTATTCATAGTATTTATTATTTATTATTTGATAAAAAAAATAACAGTTAATATATATATTTGAAGTGTGTATATGTATATTAAATGATAGAGTGATAAATATTATATATAAATGTGTTTTATATCAATATTGAGATGTGTATGTATTATATTGTAATGAAAAAATATATTTTTTCTATAAATATATTTATATAATAAAAATATATATTTTGGGATAAGTTTAGATGGATTTCAAGTTGAGTTTGGTAATATTTATCAACTATTGAGTAAAGTAAATAAAAAATATACTTATCTATTTGGGCCGAGTTGGGTTAATATCTATCAAATTTAGATTATATTATCATTCACATAAAAAAATAGTATTTACAGTCTTGCTATATTTGTAATAATCACAAATATTATTATTGGTAATAATACATTGGGGAAGTATCCTATTATTGTTGCAACATTGCCATAATGAAGATGACAGGTTATTGCACTTACGTACGAAACTTTAATGTTGCATATTATATGTAAAAATAATAATCACAAATATTATTAGTAGTATTATTATAAATTGTGATACTTGCATTACATTATATTTATCTCTCAAGAATTTCATGTTAAGAAAATGTGCTCTTTTAAACAATATATTTTCTAAACATAAAATTCTCAAGAGATACAATGTAATGTAAGGGTTTCTTTGTCGAATTATGTATATAAAACTCGTGTGTGTGTGCAGTGATGAATCGGCGTGTCTTGTATAAAAACAAATAAGATGAAGAAGTTAGCATGTGCTTAATTATTAGTGGTATTGATTAGCTCCTATTTTATTTATCCCTATCACTGTATTTTTTTAATATATAAAAAATAGAATGTACTATTAATTATTTATATAATATATATATAAAAAAGGGTTGGATTTCATGGAAAACACCGCGCCATAATTTAAGAAAGAATACGAGACAGCCAAAACAAGTCTGAAAACATGACCTATAAGTTGACGAAGAATCCCATGAATGGATGAACAAGCTGAAGGAAAAAAGAAGACGAACGACGAGAATGCGGTGTTTGTCATGTAATTGTACACTTGTCAGGTTTGCATCGCAGAAAACAAAAATCTATAAGGCATTTTGGAAGCTTCTCTACAAGTAAAGCCAAATTCATTTTTGTCCAAGCTCTTAGTATTATTAAATCCGTCAAGTTTAATCCTCCAAGGAATTCAACAGTGCATTTTATTCTCTTTTGGTTACAAGGACAATAGTAGCTATTGATTTCCTTAAACCTACTGCAAGCTATGGAATTGAAAAATGTGGTAATTAAACCCGCGCATTTAGCTTAAACTCAATGCATTTCTGATCATTTTCCGGTAATTAAGTTAATAATTAATGAATAATTAAAGATGCTGTTGAACTTGAGCACAATCGTATATAACGGATCTAATTTCGAATACTACAGGAAAGAAATCCTGTCAAAATTTTGAAATCTGATGATACCGAAGAATATAATGATTCGGAGTATATATGTGCAAGGATCTGGAAATAATTTTGGTGATACCCTGTAAATTGTAATCATGTAGTCTTAGCTAGCACCTTATTATAATGAGAGTGCAGACAAAGGGAGTTTGTCGCAGATGATATCGTGAACATCGACAATTCTTTGTCTGGGTGGGCACTGCTGAAGCATATAAGCAGTTGTTACAACACTTGCATAATTAGTTTTGTAAACGTCAAGCAAACATATTAATAGCTTTTGGTCTGGTCTGGTCTTGTCACTTTCTATATTCCCCGGAGAGTCATTTAGACAGATGGAGATGACAAGGAATACTGGCGATCAGATAAGCCTAGGAAGGCGTCGCTTGTGCATGATAGAAGAAGAAAGGAGAGACGGGGAGACTGGTAAGTGTATTAAAAGACGACGAAGAGACCCTTCTACATATTCATTAAGTTGCAATATTAATGATCAACAAAGTGACCAGCAGCAGCAGCAACAGTCACTTGGTGATCGGACTGCAGCTGTTGCCACTACTGTCAAGAGAAGTTCAAGATTTCGGGGAGTTAGCAGGTTTAATTTGACATAGCAAGCTAGGATCATTTTCATGGTTTTTTCTACATATTATTATCAATGCAATTATGTTTCTCGTTTGTTTGACAAGTTGTTAATTAGAAGCTAAACATGTGTTTCATGTGCCTAATTATTTACAACAGGCACCGTTGGACCGGACGATTTGAAGCTCATTTATGGGATAAAGGAACTTGGAATCCAACACAGAGAAAGAAGGGTAAACAAGGTACGTAGTTTCCAAGCCTTCTTGGCTTGTTAAATCTGCTTCACCGTCCCTGCCTCAGATACCTAGCGTACTTGATTACTCACGATCGGCCTTTTCATCTGTGTGCATATCAACTTCATTTTACTCGGGGAAGTTTATCTTGGTGAGCACTTCGCTTTCTGGTTGAAACCAATCTCAATTAATTTGCTCTAGCGAAAACTGATTAACAAAGAAAGAAGAAAGCCAATTAACCTTTGAGAACATCTGCAAATGCAACAGGAGCTTATGATGAAGAAGAATCCGCTGCAAGAGCTTATGATTTAGCTGCTCTCAAGTACTGGGGAACGTCAACTTTCACAAATTTCCCAGTAAAGATTACTGCAATCTATCTGATAAAAAAATAATTATTTTTTATGTGAATTTCTTGTTTGATATTTGCAAATATATTTATGGAGCCGAGACAATTATCTTTGAATGTTAAGTTGAATTATGTGTGATCATCAATTTGTTATAGGAGTCTGACTACGAGAAAGAGATTGAAATAATGAAAACGGTAACCAAAGAAGAATATCTAGCCTCCTTGAGAAGGTTTGTTCTTGAGCATTCTCACCAATTATACATAAAAACTTTGGGGTAAAATCAGAAGAATTAAGAGAGTATAGTTTTTGTTTATAGGAGAAGCAGCGGGTTTTCAAGAGGTGTATCCAAATACAGAGGAGTTGCTAGGTAAGGGCAACACCCTTTTCTGCTTACTAATCTGAAGGAATTATGCGTGCATGCACCAGTTAACTCTGAGGCAGGTGGCCGCTTTCTTTGAAATTTCAGGCACCATCACAATGGGAGATGGGAAGCAAGGATAGGGAGAGTGTTTGGAAACAAGTATCTTTATCTTGGCACTTACAGTGAGTTAATAATAACCTGAAACGTTGTGTTTTTTTTTTTTTTCTTAATGAAACATGCAAAACAAAAATATAATCTTTAAAAGATGGCATTGATGAAGCATTTGGCTGGTGCAATCTAATCTGAGCCGACGTCCTCGCAGCTAAATACAAGATTTGTTTCCTATTGTAGGTACTCAAGAGGAAGCTGCTCATGCCTATGATATAGCAGCCATTGAATATAGGGGGATCAATGCTGTAACCAATTTCGATTTAAGTACATACATCAGATGGCTGAAGCCAGAAGCCAGTCTTCCTGCACCTCAAGAATCGAAGCCAGCTTCAGGCCCCCCGCCAATGGCAACCTTCTCCAATCACCTTCCGATCGAGAAACCAACCCAGCTATCCGTTCTCCAGATGGACCCTTCTTTAATTGATAATTTAAGCACCCCTAAAAACGAGGATGTTTTTCACAGGAAGACGCTTCCCGCTAGCCCCCTCACCAGGTCATCCTCCTCGACTGCCCTTAGCCTCCTCTTTAAATCTTCAATATTCAAAGAGCTTGTGGAGAAGAACTTGAATACCACCTGCGAAGAAACTGAAGAAAACGATTCCAAAAACCAGCATAATGGCAACAACAATGCTGGGGAGGCATTCTATGATGGATTCAGCCCCATTCCTCACCCAGGCACTTCAAACGAGGATCGGTTCTTGTGTTCAGAGCAAGGAGAGAGAAATACATTGCCACCATACAATGAAATGGAGCCATCTCTTTGGAATGGAGCCTTGAGCATGCCTTCTCGTTTCCATTAAATAGAGATTCCAACTTCCTTCTGCCTCTTCCTTGCATGAGGCAATGCAGCTAACTAGTCTGTGAACAAGTACCATAAATTGCTCTTACAAATAAATGTAGATACCCTCTCCTCCCTCCAACACTCTTTAAGTATCTCATCTATGATGAAAATATCTCATCTATAATGAAAATAATACACTTCCTATTTTCATGATCAATTATTGTGAACATGAAGCCAAATCTTCTTAAGAACAAGACTACTCTTTTCATTCTTCATCCATGGCACCAAAACACTCTATTCACAGTTGAGCAAAACTGAATTATACAATTACACATCCAAGTTTGTAGCCAAGTAAACTAAATCGAATCAATTGTTAGGAATAAAAAAACTAAGAAGCTGGAGGGCTTATTTTTAGTAACCAACTGGTGAAAACAGCAAAAAGACTAACCGAGAAAATCACACATCCCTGGAATGCCAAAACACTTAAATAGAAGAAACACAAATACATTCGCACTCTACCTTTCTAAAGAAACACAATTCTTATGTTCCAAAAAATAAAAAAATCATCATAACAAGCCAATTTTGACTACAAGTGTCGGTTTAAAACCAAAAAATTTTATACTTTACAGTACTACGGGTAGTTGCCATAACACTTGCTACCGTTAAAGAATACTGATAAAATGAAACGTTGTAATACAAACAGATTGCATGTCTTATTGAATTTCTAAAGCAGGGCATCGTGGACAGTCAAATAGGAACCTGCTGGGGTAATCTACCATTAGAAATCAACCACCATTTCCGAGATTGTTCCTCAGTGTGGTTAAAAATCTCCTTTATTTGTACATAAAAATAATCAACGAGACTGTTGCAGAGATGCGGTTTGGTGATGATTGTGTTTAGGGCATTGCAATCAACACCTGGCAGAATTAAACCTGCAAATGTTAAGCCATGAGTAAGCAACATAATTGCATGTCAGAACAGGAAAAAGAAACGAGGGCATGGGCATTTCAACATTATATTTCTGAGAAACAAATAATTGTGAGCAACAAGTTAAATCAACAGAACCTGGAAACTTTATCACGACCTTTCCTACCAGAAAGCACCTGCTCAGTGTGAGAGATGACCCAAAGCTTAATCACCAACCATCCTAGAAGGACCCCTAATCCGTTAACAAAAGCTTTCTTTCATTATTGCATATACTCAAATCTCAGATTCCAATGTTTCCTAAGCTAACAAAAAGCGGAATAAGGAAACAGGGTGTGCTACCAAATTATGAAATGTGGTATACTGGTCAATGACTTGGGAACCAAGAACACAAATCTGGTTCAAGGAAAGCTTATCAATTACCAATAGAAGTTCTATCTCCACTTCATCAAACTCTAATCCAAGGAAAAATTATCAATGCAACCCACATTATCTTTCTACATTCTTTCTAGCTAAGCATCCAAACACTACCTTCTCCTGGGGTCACTCCTCATTCATCCCTCTCTGCAAAAAGCCACACTAACCCACCCTTTCTGCAAAAAGCCAAATTAATTACTCAGCAGGA